GCACCTCAAGCTTTGGAGAGCTTCTGTTCAGCCATTTCAAAGCTCCCTGCTTGGGCGGTGATGGCACAATCGTCAGCATAGATGAAACTCTTTGTCTGTTCTGGCAGTGGCTGACAATTTGTGTAAATGTGAGCTGGAAAGGGATTTTAAAAGGCTAGTACTACAAAAACCAGAACCCACAACAGTGAGGGCCAGATCGGGAATGTAGATGCCTAGGTTAAGGTTTCGAGCTCTGTGCTTGTTTATGGGCTTTATATTGCATCCTTCCAGATGTTGTTGAACAGAAAGTCCCAGCAATCCAATTTAGAAGAGTCAGCAGAGAGTCTTGTTGGGAATTATAGTTCAGTGACCTCTGCAGTACTATATATTACCCCCTCGAAATCACAGAGTTCTACAGTTTATTTCGAAGCCTGTTCCATAGTCTGTGTGTTCCCATTTCCTGCTTTTGCTCGTCTTTTCCACAATTTTAAATCCAGGAAAAATGCGTTCAAATAAGCGTATTCTCTGCATGCCCAATGCTCGATCTGCATACCAAAATGAGGCGCCGATGCACCCGCCTGCTTGTTCATTTAGTCGCTCTTTTGCCGCAATCTCTGGAAAGCACCGAAATGCTTAAGGAAATGCAAATGACGCCCGGCAGAAATACATACATGAATATTTCTCCCCGTCACCATTTGCAAAGCCCCTTTGCTCCAAATGCTTATTATTTGCAGCAAACAAAGCCGCACGTTTATTAACAGCCATTATAGAAGCGTAAAGTACTTTAATTGACTCTCTGCTTCTCCTTTCTCCGCAAGGAATACGAGAAGTTTCGGGCTGCTTTGAATAGTTCTGGGGATGGTTGAATAATCTGGGCGACCAGAAGGATAAAACCCACAGATTATTGAGGGCAGGGGTCAGAAAAAAAAGGTATGAGGCTATGCCCTAACAAAAAGATAAAGTCTGGGATTTGTAGTTTTATGAGGTATTGGCACAAATACTCAATATGCCCAATTCTGAACACTGGTGGAGTTTGGGGGAAACAGACCTTGACATCTGGGAGTTGTAGTTGCACGGATTTATAGTTCTCCTACAATAAGAGCATTCTGAACCCCACCAATGATAGAATTGGGCCAAAGAGAGCCACACAGAACACCCCTGCCTTAAACGGATTCACGGGCATGAGCCTCCCTCCAGCTTCTCATGCTCTCACTCAGCCGCATACGTGCACTATGATGCCATGCGCAGAGTATGCCTGCTTCTCCTCCTCCTGATCCTGCTGAGCTACTCTTAGTCCTACGTCACGCGGGTGCTTTCCCCCCTGGCTGGAAGGAACTTGTGAGACTCCCACCAGCCTCTCACGCTCTCCCTCACCCGCACATGTGCACCACGCTGCCATGCGCACAGCATGCCTGCTCCTCCTCCTCCTGATCCTGCTGAGCTACTCTTAGTCCCAAGTCGCGTGGGTGATTTCCCCCCGGCTGGAAGGAACTTGCGAGACTCCATCCAGCCTTTCACGCTCTCCCTCACCCGCACATGTGCACCACGCTGCCATGCGCACAGCATGCCTGCTCCTCCTCCTCCTGATCCTGCTGAGCTACTCTTAGTCCCAAGTCGCGTGGGTGATTTCCCCCCTGGCTGGAAGGAACTTGCGAGACTCCATCCAGCCTTTCACGCTCTCCCTTACCTGCACATGTGCCACGCGCAGAGCATGCCTGCTCCTCCTCCTCCTGATCCTGCTGAGCTACTCTTAGTCCCACGTCTCATGGTTGCTTTCCCCTCTGGCTGGAAGGAATGTGTAAGACTCCCTCCAGCCTCTCACACTCTCCCTTACCTGCACATGTGCACCATGCTGCCATTAGCAGAGCACGCCTGCTCCCCCTCCTCCTGATCCCGCTGAGCTACTCTTAGTCCTACGTCACACGGGTGCTTTCCCCACTGCCTGGAAGGATTGTGCGAGACTCCCTCCAGCCTCTCACGCTCTCCCTCACCTGCACATGTGCACTATGATGCCATGCGCAGAGCATGCCTGCTCCTCCTCCTCCTGATCCTGCTGAGCTACTCTTAGTCCCAGTCTCATGGTTGCTTTCCCCCCTGGCTGGAAGGAACATGCGAGACTCCCTCCAGCCTCTCACGCTCTCCCTCATCCGCACATGTGCACTATGCTGCCTTGTGCAGAACACGCCTGCTCCCCCTCCTCCTGATCCTGCTGAGCTACTCTTAGTGCCACGCCTCATGGTTGCTTTCTCCCCTGGCTGGAAGGAATTTGCAAGACTCCCTCCAGCCTCTCACACTCTCCATCACCCGCACATGTGCACCACATTGCCATGCGCAGAGCATGCATGCTCCTCCTCCTCCTGGTCCTGCTGAGCTACTCTTAGTCCCACGCTACACGGGTGCTTTCCCCACTGCCTGGAAGGAACTTGTGAGACTCCCTCCAGCCTCTCACGCTCTCCCTCACCCACATATGTGCACCACGCTGCCATGTGCAGAGCATGCCTGCTCCTCCTCTTCCTGATCCTGCTGAGCTACTCTTAGTCCCACACTACATGGGTGCTTTCACCCCTGCCTGGAAAGAAATTGTGAGACTCCTTCCAGCCTCTCAAGCTCTCCCTCACCCTGCACATGTGCACCATGCTGTCATGAGCACGCCTGCTCCTCCTCCTCCTGATCCTGCTGAGCTACTCTTAGTCCCACGCTACACGGGTGCTTTCCCCCCTGCCTGGAAGGAACTTGAGAAACTCCCTACAGCCCCTCACACTCTCCCTTGCATGCACATTATGCCACCATATGCCGAGCACACCTGCTCTCCCCTCCTTGCTTGGAATCTAGAAATAGCCTTCCCCTTGCTGAGAGGCCAGCCAATCACAGCGGAGGAGTGAGTTTGGTGGGAAGATTTGCCTTCTGTTGCAAAAAAGGAAGAGAAGCTTGAGCAGAGATAGTCATGTGCCGAGCACGCCTGCTCTCCCCTCCCTGCTTGGAGTCTCAGAAAAAGCCTTCGCCTTGTCTAAAGGCCAGCCAATCACAGTGGAAGAGTGCATTTGGTGGGAAGAATTGCCTTCTGTTTCCAAAAAGGAAGAGAAGTTTGGGCAGGGATCGACATTTGCTGAGCACGCCTGCTCTCCCCTCCCTGCTTGTAGTCTCAGAAATAGCCTTCCCCTTGCTGAGAGGCTGGCCAATCACAGCGGAGGAGTGCATTTGGTGGGAAGAATTGCCTTCTGTTTCCAAAAAGGAAGAGAAGTTTGGGCAGGGATCGACATTTGCTGAGCACGCCTGCTCTCCCCTCCCTGCTTGTAGTCTCAGAAATAGCCTTCCCCTTGCTGAGAGGCCGGCCAATCACAGCGGAGGAGTGCATTTGGTGGGAAGATTTGCCTTCTGTTTCCAAAAAGGAAGAGAAGTTTGGGCAGGGATCGACATTTGCTGAGCACGCCTGCTCTCCCCTCCCTGCTTGGAGTCTCAGAAATAGCCTTCCCCTTGCTGAGAGGCCGGCCAATCACAGCAGAGGAGTGCATTTGGTGGGAAGATTTGCTGTCTGTTTCCAAAAAGGAAGAGAAGCTTGGGCAGAAATCAACATGTACTGAGCACGCCTGCTCTCCCCTCCCTGCTTGGAGTCTCAGAAATAGCCTTCCCCTTGGTGAGAGGCCAGCCAATCATTATTGATTGTTGTTTTTGTTATGTGATTTATATGATTTGTATTTTATTGATTGTTTATTAATGCTGTGTTATTGATGTTTGTTTGATGTACTTCAGGCTTGGCCTCATGTAAGCCGCACCGAGTCCCTTGGGGAAATGGTAGCGAGGTACAAATAAAGTTATTATTATTATTATTACTATTATTATTATTATTATTATATTACTAGCTGTCCCCTGCCACGCGTTGCTGTGGCACACATGGGGATTCTGTGTGGGAGGTTTGGCCCAATTCTGTCATTGGTGGGTTCAGAATGCTCTGTGAGTGTAGGTGAACTATAAATCCCAGCAACTACAACTCCCAAATGTCAAGATTCTATTTTCCCCAAACTCCACCAGTGTTCACATTTGGCATTATTGAGTATTCATGCAGAGTTCGGCCCAGATCCATCATTGTTTGAGTCCACAGTGATCTCTGGATTTAGGTGAACTACAACTCCCAAACTCAAGGTCCAAGCCCACCAAATCCTTCCAGTATTTTCTGTTGGTCATGGGAGAACTGTCTGCCAAGTTTGGTTCAATTCCATCCTTGGTTGGGTTCAGAATGCTCTTTGATTGTAGGTGAACTATAAATCCCATCAACTACAACTCCCAAATGTCAAGATTCTATTTTCACCAAACTCCAAAAGTGTTCACATTTGGGTATATTAAGTATTTGTGTAGAGTTTGGTCCAGATCCATCATTGCTTGAGTCCACAGTGTTCTCTGGATGTAGGTGAACTACAACTCCCAAACTCAAGGTCCAAGCCCACCAAATCCTGTTGGTCATAGGAGAACTGTGTGCCAAGTTTGGTTCAATTCCATCGGTAGGGTTCAGAATGCTCTGTGGTTGTAGGTGAACTCTAAATCCCAGCAACTACAACTCCCAAATGACAAACTCAATGTTTTTGAGTGAAGGACATAGATTGGGTTGTTAGGTGTCTTCTTGTGTCCAAATTTGGTGCCAATTCGTCCAGTGGTTTTTGAGTTCTGCTAATCCCACAAACGAACATGACATTTTTATTTATATAGATTGAAGATGTGAATGGGAGTCAGAAATATTCCTTAAAGGTATGAGATCCACACAGGAGTGAGTTTAAGATGCCTTCCCTCTCATCCTGGATAGATGCCTCATGTCCATCTTCCTGCTTAAGCCGCTCGAAGCAGGAATGTTCAGGTATTCCCACTCTTCCGAAAGGCCAAGCCAGGAACTTTGCTCCGTCTGTTGGGAAGCTGCCCGAGCCGGTTGTGTCTGTCAACTCCGGAAGCCCCGCCTCCCTCTCACCTGGGAACTGGGCGAGCCAGCCAATGGGGAGCCTCGCATTGCCATGGTGAAGGACAGGTAACGCTGAGGCATCTCACCTGGCAGGCCGGAAAGCATAAAAGAGCCTGGAGCCATGGCCGGGCTGCTAGAGATGTCAACAGTGTCCTGGGAAGGAAATACTCCGGGAATACTATTCGTGCTGTCCTTTGGGGATAGGAAGAGGAGCTGGAAGATGTTTTCAGGCTGCTGAGAATCCTCCTTTTGGACAGGTAAGTTTTTTTTTGCACATTCTCACTTGGTCTGGATGGTTCTTGGGATCCCTTCCAGGGCTGTGATGACATCGGAACTCCTTTGGTTATCATACTAAAGGTAAAGGTTGTCCCCTGACATTAAGTCCAGTCGTGTCTGACTCTGTGGGTTGGTGCTCATCTCCACTTCTAAGCCGAAGAGCCGGCATTGTCCATAGACACCTCCAAGGTCATGTGGCCAGCATGACTCCATGGAGCAACGTTACCTTCCTTACCGATCTACTCACATTTGCATGTTTTCGAACTGCTCGGTTGGCAGAAGCTGGGGCTAAGAGCGGGAGCTCATCCCGCTCCCCGGATTTGAACCAGTGACCTTTCAGTCAGCAGGTTCAGCAGCTCAGCGATTTAATCCACTGCGTCACTGGGGGCTCCAAACAATGGCACACAAATACACAGACAAAGGCAAAGGCTTCCCCTTTCATCTCTAGCTCTTGGGGAGGAAGGAGCTGGGTCTCACACCGCTCCCCGTATTCGAACCGCCAACCTTTCAGTCAGCAAGTCCAGCAGGTCAGCAGTTTAACCAGCTTCACCAGCCTGACATTATTGCAAACATGTTTGTTTGTTGTACGACTCCCATGTTGTTTTGGACTTTTGGTGACCCTATCATGAGTTTTGGAGCTCCTTGGGATGTGCTGAGCTGCAGAACTTGCTGACCGAAAGGTCGCAGGTTCGAATCTGAGGATCTGGGTGAGCTCCCGCAGTTAGCCCCATCTTCTGCCAACCTAGCAGTTCAAAAACATGTAAATGTGAGTAGATCTATAGTTATTTCTTCTGCGGGAAGGTGCCTTCCAGTATTTTCTGTTAGTCAAGGGAGTTCTATGTGCTAAGTTTGGTCCAATTCCATCATTGGTGGGGTTCAGAATGCTCTTTGATTGCAGGTGAACTATAAATCCCAGCAACTGTTAACTCCCAAATGTAAAGTCTATTTCCCCCAAACTCCACCAGTGCTCACATTTGGGCATAGTGAGTGTCCGTGCCAAGTTTGGTCCAGATCCATCATTGTTTGAGTGCACCGTGCTCTCTGGACGTAGGTGAACTACAACTCCCAAACTCAAGGTCAGTGCCCACCAAACCCTTCCAGACTTTTCTATTGGTCGTGAGAGTTCTATGTGCCTAGTTTTGATTGATCCCATCGTTGGTGCGGTTCAGAATGCTCTTTGATTGCAGGCGAACTATAAATCCCAGCAACTGTTAACTCCCAAATGTAAAGTCTATTTTCTGCAAACTCCACCTGTGTTCAAATTTGGGCATAGCGAGTGTCCGTGCCAAGTTTGGTCCAGATCCATCATTGTTGAAGTCCTGGATGTAGGTAAACTACAACTCCCAAACTCAAGGTCAATGCACATCAAACCCTTCCAGTATTTTCTGTTGGTTGTGGGAGTTTTGTGTGCCAAGTTTGGCCAATTCCATCGTTTGTGGAGTTCAGAATGGTCTTTGATTGTAGGTGAGAGGAGATTCCATCTGAACATGAGGAAGAACTTCCTGACTGTGAGAGCTGTTCAGCAGTGGAACTCTCTGCCCTGGAGTGTGGTGGAGGCTCCTTCTTTGGAAGCTTTGAAACAGAGACTGGATGGCCATCTGTCAGGGATGATTTGAATGCAATAGTCCTGCTTCTTGGCAGAATGGGGTTAGACTGGATGGCCCAGGAGGTCTCTTCCAACTCTTTGATTCTATGATTCTATGTGATCTATAAATCCCAGCAATTACAACTCCCAAATGTCAAGGTCTATTTTCGCCAATCTCCACCAGTGTTCACATTGGGGCATAGTGAGCGTCCGTGCCAAGTGTGGTCCAGATCCATCATTGTTTGAGTCCTGGATGTAGGTAAACTACAACTCCCAAACTCAAGGTCAGTGTCCACCAAACCCTTCCAGTATTTTCTGTTCATCATGGGAGTTTTGTGTGCCCACAAGGCCTCTTCCAATTCTAGAATTCTATGCAAAAGGAGGGCAACTATGACAGTTGATGAGCTACTGACGACTGGCAGTGCTCGTTCGCTTCTGTTGGCTTCCTTCTACAGGGTAGTGATACCAACTTGATTTGATGGTCAACATCTGCTGGAAGATTTTTCAAATTGTGAAGAGTTTCGGCAACCAAACTATCCTTGGCGGAGTGCTGCATGTCAGTACCAATATTTATTTATATTTTAAAGTAGATGAGATGAACGGAGAACTGCTGAGAGGTGGTTAAAGCATAATTGGAATTGCTTCCAGGGCGATGAGGCAGCCTTTTGGAAGAGAACACCTCTGAGCCACAGATTTTGCTTTCCGGTGACTCTTCCTCTTTGGAGACATACTGACTCTTGATCATTTAATGGCTCGTAGCTGCATGGCAATGGCATGAGATCAAAGGAGGAGGAGGAGGTTGTTGTTGACGTGGGGCCAAGAGGGCTCTTGCATGCCTCCTGGGCACTTGCCTGCAAAGCAGAAAGCAATGAATGCAAGTGACAAGTGGGGCAAATATTTCCAGAATCAGGTGGCCTTCTGGATGACGTTAGGTTGCAACTCCCACTAGCCCAGTGTTTCTCAACCCCTGAGGGGGTCGCGAGGGGGTGTCAGAGGGGTCGCCAAAGACCATAAGAAAACACAGTATTTTCTGATGGTCATGGGGATTCCATGAGTCAATTCTATCACTGGTGGAGTTCAAAATGTTCTTTGATTGTAAGTGAACTATAAATCCCAGCAACTACAACTCCCAAATGTCAAGATCTATTTTCCCCAGACTCCAATTTTTGTGGGGGAACTTGGTATTATTGCTGTGTAGCAGAAAGCCAGCAGAAGTGAACGAGCACTGCCAGTCATCAGTAGCTCATTGACTGGCGCTGTTGTGAACGTTAGAGATGAGAGTCCTCATTCCGTTTCCCTCCAAGAACGAAGTTCGCACTGTATGAAGGATATCTGGAAAGTAAGGTTACAAGGCACGTAGCTCTTGCGGGGAATTTTTGTGGGGGAACTTGGTATTACTGCTGTGTAGCAGAAAGCCAGCAGAAGTGAACGAGCACTGCCAGTCATCAGTAGCTCATTGACAGGCGCTGTTGTGAACGTTAGAGATGAGAGTCCTCATTCCGTTTCCCTCCAAGAACGAAGTTCGCACTGTATGAAGGATATCTGGAAAGTAAGGTTACAAGGCACGTAGCTCTTGCGGGGAATTTTTGTGGGGGAACTTGGTATTACTGCTGTGTAGCAGAAAGCCAGCAGAAGTGAACGAGCACTGCCAGTCATCAGTAGCTCATTGACAGGCGCTGTTGTGAACGTTAGAGATGAGAGTCCTCATTCCGTTTCCCTCCAAGAACGAAGTTCGCACTGTATGAAGGATATCTGGAAAGTAAGGTTACAAGGCACGTAGCTCTTGCGGGGAATTTTTGTGGGGGAACTTGGTATTACTGCTGTGTAGCAGAAAGCCAGCAGAAGTGAACGAGCACTGCCAGTCATCAGTAGCTCATTGACAGGCGCTGTTGTGAACGTTAGAGATGAGAGTCCTCATTCCGTTTCCCTCCAAGAACGAAGTTCGCACTGTATGAAGGATATCTGGAAAGTAAGGTTACAAGGCACGTAGCTCTTGCGGGGAATTTTTGTGGGGGAACTTGGTATTACTGCTGTGTAGCAGGAAGCCAGCGGAAGTGAATGAGCAGTGCCAGCTGTCAGTAGCTCATCAACTGGCTTTGTGGTGAAGGTTGGAGATGAGTGTCCTCATTCTGTAGCTCTTGCGGGGAATTTTTGTGGGGGAACTTGGTATTACTGCTGCGTAGCGGGAAGCCAGCAGAAGCAAACGAGCAGTACCACTTGTCATCATCATCATCATCATCATCATTTAATTACTTATTAATTGCCCTCCATCTGAGAATGCTCCAGGTGATTTACAGCTAACTTGTAAAAGATAAAATACATACATACAAAAATTAAAAATGAACAGGGATCGAATGCTCTAGTAAAAAGCCAGGTCTGAAGTGCTAGAGTAAAAGGCCCTAAGTCACACATGGCTCTCATGTAGGGCGGCAAGGAATTCCATCAGGCAGGGGCAAAAATAGAAAAAGCCCATCTGCGTCTGTTCCTTTCCAAGGGCACTTCTCTAGGACCCGGTATATAGAGTAAGTTGCATTGGGCTGGTCGTTGCGACCTCCGATGATGGGAGAAGGAGAGGCGGTCCCTAAGGTACGATGGACCCTGGCCGTAAAGAATAAAGGTCAGAACTAGCATCTTATACAGGCCACGGTACTCAGTTGGAAGCCAATGCAAATGCCGCAACACCGGTGTTCTATGGCATTTCATGGGCGTTCTTGTGAGTAGCCTGGCTGCCACATTCTGAACAATACGGAGCTTTTGGGTGGTAGACATCGGAAGGCCCACATACAGGGCGTTGCAATAGTCCAGCCTAGACGTGACCGTGGCATGGATGACAGTTGCCAGAGCCTCATCAGATAGGTAGGGTGCCAGTTGCCTCGCTTGTCATAGATGGAAAAAGGCCTGTTTGCTGGCAGCAGCGACCTGAGCTTCCATTGTCAGCTGTGAATCCAGGATGACACCTAAGCTCTTAACAGTGGTCGATGGAGATAGGGCGGCACCATCGAAGGTGGGTAATGGAGGAGTCAGACCTGCCGGGCGGCCATGCCAGAGAATCTCAGTCTTCGCCGGGTTCACCTTCAGTCTGCTAGCACGTAGCCAGTTTGACAGAGCTTCCAGACATAGGGTGAAATTGTCTGGAATTGACATTGCTCCAGGCTCCAGGCGCAGAAGGAGTTGGGTATCGTCTGCATATTGGTAGCAGTCCAGGCCGAAACTCCGAGCCAAACTAGCAAGGGTCTAACGTAGATGTTGAAGAGAAGAGGAGAGAGAATTGCACCTTGGGGGACCCCACATAGGAGGGGGGATCTATCGGAGACTTGATCCATGTACTCCACGTTCGCTCCGGTTCCGGAGAAATGAGTTGAACCAATTAAGGGCCTGTCATCAGTTGGGGACCCC